ATAAGGTCGCTAGTCCTAAGACTGGTTGGACACGCGCCACCACTTCTTCCTATCCTAATCTTCGCATTTACCTAAAACTAGAACATCTATTATCCTTAACTATTTGCGGACAGTAATCTAATCCTCTTAACTCCTGCTTCTGCATCTAATATATCACTGACTAGACCTTTATGCTTGAGAAGGTATCCTACCAACCTATCTCGCTTATTTTTTATTGACTTCCGCAGAGTCCTCTGTTCTCCCACTCTTCCTAATACCTCCATTATGGTTGAACCTATGGTCCGGCTCCCTAAATTATCGAAACTCGCAAGCCGATCTACCTATTTAGTTTGTACCAGAGCTTTGCCACGGTTTTAGTCCCGTCGGATCGGTTTTTAATTATAATCGATACTGAATAAGGTATTTCGATGGAATAATCAATTTTCTAAAAAAAAGGTACTCTTGTAAAAATCCCGAAAATTACTTCATTATTAAGCTAGTTAGAGAAAACTAAAAGGGGTGCCCATTTTACGATTATTGAAAAACGCACCCCTTAAAATGGTGACACTTTCTGGTATAACCATCTACCATATTCAATCATTAAACCCTTTTAACGCATTTGTTCCATACTTCCGTTTCTTTGTGTCTCTATTCAATTGTCTAATATATGGGATCGTAGGGCCTGTGGCTAAAAACTCTTCAACAACTTCAACATCATTAGGTAAAATTTTCTTCAAAAATTGTCCAAATTTCAACTAGTTGTACATTAAATGCACTACTTGACAATCCGGCAGAGTTTCTTTAGCTGTTTTACCATTGAAAATAAGGTTGTTCTGCATAAAGAAATACTGAATTTATACAATTTTATTTCACCGTGTACCAACAATACATTTTGCTGACACAAATATGGTGATTATTTATTTATCAGTACCCAATTTCACTAACAATAAGTACCTTTTTATGTAAAGTCGTTTCGTAAGTCAATTATTATATAAATCCAATAACTGATACCCAGATAATTCATAATCGAAAATTTCGAATACCGATCTTAGTTGCAGTAGCGTTATACAAATAAATACTTATGTAAATAATAAATTGCTTAACGCAAACGGATGAATGCAAAATTATTATTATGAGTTTTGTCGAGAAGTAGCTACCATTAAGAAATAAAGTTACACATTTTCAACGGACGGTCTACATTCTCTATCAACGAATAAAATTATTATGATTGCAAGTGCCTTTGAAAGTTAACTATTATAATCAATTAGTGAACCGGAACGCGGCTGGTATCCAAGAACATTTTATTTACTTCGCTTCCCTATGAGAAAAACGTGAACATTGACTAATTACATAATCTCCATCTCTTGCTTAGTCGAAAGATTAAATGTACAATTCACGAAAGTCGATAGATATCCATTAATTTGGTCGTTTACATTAAAACATTCTTTACAATTTGCAAGTAACGGGTCTAGGAAACGTTTTATATTTTTAACGGTTTTGGAAATGTCATTATATCTAACGTCAAAAAAGAGACTGCACTGTATACTGCATATAAAGGTGCTCGTTTAACTAGTCGGAGCTCACTTTAAAGCCTACACAAAAAGGATTTAATTACATTCATTTGTTCAATTATAAAACGACACAAAATGATGTTACACTTTTTGAAATTAATCTTTTACGTCAGCGAAACAAAAGCACGTTAAAAACGCGGGGTACGATGAGCAGATGAGTTTTGTCTGCTAAATTAGACAGTGTGCAATATTCAAACATCTACATTTTTCATCTGATATGGTTCAGAAATGATCCACTTCTCCCTATTCTTCTCCTTTTTTTGTTTTATACGGAAAAACTTAATATGTCTAGTAGGGTGAGCCAAAAAACAACCCAATTTCACTAACAATAAGTACCTTTTTATGTAAAGTCGTTTCGTAAGTCAATTATTATATAAATCCAATAACTGATACCCAGATAATTCATAATCGAAAATTTCGAATACCGATCTTAGTTGCAGTAGCGTTATACAAATAAATACTTATGTAAATAATAAATTGCTTAACGCAAACGGATGAATGCAAAATTATTATTATGAGTTTTGTCGAGAAGTAGCTACCATTAAGAAATAAAGTTACACATTTTCAACGGACGGTCTACATTCTCTATCAACGAATAAAATTATTATGATTGCAAGTGCCTTTGAAAGTTAACTATTATAATCAATTAGTGAACCGGAACGCGGCTGGTATCCAAGAACATTTTATTTACTTCGCTTCCCTATGAGAAAAACGTGAACATTGACTAATTACATAATCTCCATCTCTTGCTTAGTCGAAAGATTAAATGTACAATTCACGAAAGTCGATAGATAGATATCCATTAATTTGGTCGTTTACATTAAAACATTCTTTACAATTTGCAAGTAACGGGTCTAGGAAACGTTTTATATTTTTAACGGTTTTGGAAATGTCATTATATCTAACGTCAAAAAAGAGACTGCACTGTATACTGCATATAAAGGTGCTCGTTTAACTAGTCGGAGCTCACTTTAAAGCCTACACAAAAAGGATTTAATTACATTCATTTGTTCAATTATAAAACGACACAAAATGATGTTACACTTTTTGAAATTAATCTTTTACGTCAGCGAAACAAAAGCACGTTAAAAACGCGGGGTACGATGAGCAGATGAGTTTTGTCTGCTAAATTAGACAGTGTGCAATATTCAAACATCTACATTTTTCATCTGATATGGTTCAGAAACGATCCACTTCTCCCTATTCTTCTCCTTTTTTTGTTTTATACGGAAAAACTTAATATGTCTAGTAGGGTGAGCCAAAAAACATTTATTTTTTTCTTCTGTTACGATGAAAATGCTGTTCAAAATGACAAAAAACATGAGCCTGACTTTAATGTTAAGAGAGGCGTCTCATAGTGATTTTTGATTTCCCATTTAAATAACACGGGAAAAATTTTTCTTCTTAATTTTATTGCGTCTTAATGAATTATTGTATTTAAAAGTCAATACATATTCATGTAAGGAATTAAATGATCTACAAAAAAGGTCTGAAATGTTTTTTCGCTAAGTCAACTCATTTAAAAGTTATTCGAGATTAAAACTCAACCTCAAATTAAAAATTTCAGTTTCATTGAAAAATTATTGGAAAATGACTTTTATTATCTTACATTACCTAATGATCAAATGTAAATAAGACATTTATTTACATTTGATTATTAGGTAATGTAAGATAATAATCAAATGTATGTAAATAAGACATTTATTTTTTTTTTTAGTATTTTCTAAGGAATAATTATTTCATTACTCTGAGGAAACAAAAATTTCTAGTGCCACTTAAAGTTAAGTGTAGAACAAATTTCCTTATGATTATCGGTATTTTGTAAACATTGTTTTACCAGAGAATACTCAACGACCCTCACGAAAAATATGATATTTTATGTTTTTGAACCATTATCTTGTGATAAAGTATAAAAAATTGTGAAGTCATCATGTGCCATTGGAGGTTGAACTTTAATCTCAAATAACTTTCAAATGAGTTGACTTATCACTTCAAACCTTTTATATAGATCGTTCAATTCTCTACAATACAAAAATTCGTTAAAATGCAATAAAATTTCAACAAAAAAATTTCCCGTGTTATTTAAATGGGAAATCTAATTGTCCACTACATTTTATTTCAGAAAAATGATGAGTATTTTGAAGATAGTTTTGAGAATGACAATTTATTGTACCTATGATGTAACCTTGCCTTGATTTTTCTTCTTCGTCTTAACCGTGTACGATCCAATCTAATCTTTTCTACAAAACATTATCATTATCCTTATTCAGACAC